GTGGAGTCTCCCGGGGTCTCAGGTACCCCTCCTTCCGACCCTCGTCCGCTGTATGCTCGTTCTTGCTTCTTTTTTCTAATTTCTGCTAGAATCTGTCTTTTCTGCAGAGACACTCTGTCTGGTGGTGCTTCTCGTCCGCCATCTTGATCCTCCCCCTCTGAAAGGAGATTTTTAACTTTAATATTTTGTCTCGTTTTCATTTAAACGTGGCGTGGCGCTCAGTTACTTGATAATTTTCAGCCTTGGCTGGACGCCACTTGCGGTGTTATTGTTATTGCACAGGATGTGTAATTCTTGGTCGGTTTTGTTTTCAGCTCCGTGTGGAGGCCAGTACACGGGGTCGGAAGGGGTAGTGTTATCTCCAAACTACCCTCGCAATTACACAGCTGGCGAAATGTGCCTCTACTCCATAACTGTGCCAAAGGAGTTTGGTAAGATTTTGAATTTATTGTCATATTTCTTTCCCTTGTTAATTTTTCTGCCATTCCATGAACCGATATTCCGGCTCTTGGTATAATAAATAATACTATAAAGGAAGACGAGTTGCATTTAAGTGGCAAGCTTTCCAGATTTGTCTACACCATGTTCATTACACTATTTTTTATCACTGTGATACGGAAGGTTTAAATTCCCTTCTAGGATTCCAACGTAGAATTATCAGAGAATTAATTTGGCTTTGTTTTTATTTTTCTCTGATCGGGCTTTGCAGAGAGACTTCATTTCTATCTAAGGCGACTTGCCGGGTGGTTTGAGCCGCGTCTGCTCGACGCCTCGCCCACTCTTGACCAGGAAAACTTGTCCTGAGTTGGATTCTTTTCTGGGGTAAACCAGAAAGTCGTCTTGTAGATTATTTCCTCTTCTCCAACAGTAATATGAAAAACCCTACATAGTCGAGGGTTTTCTTTACATTGAAAACAGCAGTCCGTTAATCAGAACGCAAAGCAGATAAAAATTCTAATGTTGGAATGGGTTCGAGGTGAAACATTCTAACATTTGACAAGAGAGTTATTTGCTGGGTAAGAAGGTGGCACAGGGGAGACAAATGATTTCTAGAAACTTCTGTTGTTATTTGCTCAAGATGGGATTAAGGGTGGGGCAACACCATTATCCTTCTTCCCAGGGGGGGCAGTTTCTCCAGGCAGCACCAAAGCCAGGCACTCTTGTTTCTAAAGATCCTAACTATCCACCTAACAGTAGTTGGAATGAAGAACAGTGTCAGATTCCAACTGCCTAAGCTGGACCAAGTTCTCTCTCTACTCATGTTCCTTATTTAACCTCACCCTTAATTCTGTGTTGAAATAAAATACATTTTTTCCACCTAAATGCTCAACAACATTCCTCGAGTTACTTTATCACAAAAAATTCTTTCATTTTTCTTTCATTTATACATGACAAAATTTACTCATCGCAATGGGTAAAACTTAGCAGCCCTATTCCATGATTTTAGCTGAGTACAAAATTTAATTGTTACCACAACATAGCTATGCTCTTTCAGCAGAAAAAAAAATGTCACATTCCTACCCTAAATATTGATTATAAATCCCCAATGTGAAAGGTGTAATGATACAGACCCACACTGTTCTCTCTGGGCAGAAAGTTCAGTTTGGAACAACAAATCATTTATTCTTAGTTTTAGCAGAGAGTTGATGGTCACTAAACATTTCTTCAAGAAAAGTAGGAATTATGTATATGTATAAGTCACCTTTGTACTAATTAAAAGACCCAAATATTCAGCCTCCATCATGATGTGATAACAAATTAAATAATTTGTGGAGGTGGAGAGGGTGGGAATGGATTTTATGAGCGAGAACTGTAGAGAAATAGTAACATCCTCTCCCTCTGAAATCTCTGAGAAGACAGGATTTTAGAGCATTTCTTCTTTTGGAAAAATCCATCTTGCCTACACACCTTGTTTGTATTTCTCTCCACAAATTATAACATGTCAATAATGCCTGATAAATTTTGCATGTGTTTGTATTCTGCTACATAGACACATATGTATGTACACACATGCACACACACACGCACACACAGAGGCACACACACTGTTGCAGGTAGATTGTCCCCAGGGCGCTGACACTAATTCTTTCCCTTAGAATTCTGACCTGCACAAGCAGCGTACACCCCTCTCTTTCTTGCTCCTAATGACATAGAATGATTTCAGTGCTAACCTTACACATAAATAAGAAAAGGGTTAGTTGCTCATTGCTTCTAAATAGACACTAAACCACAGGGCTTTCTAAATATTGCAAAGGCCCTCTGTGCCATCAATTCAGATGCACAAACGTTGATTACATTTGAAGTCACAGAATGTGTGGGTGTGTTTTACCTGGAGGAGGTGTGTTCACACAGGGGCCTGTAGGATAAATAAAGTTGCAGAATAACAATTCTGTGGAATAACAAGCCATTCCTGTGGTATGTTACTGAATCAAGGGTTTAAATGAGTTAATATAAGTTTGGCCATGCATTAGTATGATTTTGGCATTTAATATAACCTTTTGTGAAGAATTTTAAACATCTCACCAAATTATCATGGAACACGATTTCTATGCTTATTTTTCATGGAATAAAATGTCACAAATTACTCAAAAATAAATGAATGCCTTTAGAGATATTCTTCTGTCATTGTCTTAATGTATTAATAGTATTTATTAAAAGAAAAAAAACATTTCTCAACATAACAAAAGATAAAGAAGCAAATAAAAGTATTTAACCAACTGAAAACTTAGAAAGCAAAGAAAATAAGTTAATATTTATTTTTCATAAGATTCTTAGGATAATCATCCTATGGGTCAATCAATAAATATATAGTACAACCAAATTGCCCATTTCATTTTTTTAAAAATATATTGTGCCAACTCCCCTTTCTGTTTTACAGTGGTGTTTGGACAGTTTGCCTATTTCCAGACAGCACTGAATGATTTGGCAGAATTGTTTGATGGGACGCATGCTCAGGCCAGACTGCTCAGCTCACTCTCTGGGTCTCATTCAGGTAAGCTCTCAAAGAACGCTGTGGTCAATTCCATTCAGACAGTGAGGACGATAAATTCTAATACTTGTCTATTTATTTTTCTTTGTTCTGAGTAATGGGAAATTAAATCGTCTTTGAATTTGAACATGGGTTCAGGAAGATTTTATGTTAGATATAAGATTTCAGAATTATTTTTTGTCCCATATATAAAACCACCTACCTTTATTACTTTACTTACGGAGATTATGGAAAATATAGTACTTATCTCCATAAAAGAAACAAATATCAAAAAAAAGGGATAATAAACTATCTTGTAGGTTTTATTTTCTATTCCCTGTGTCCTAATATTCTAACTGGAGATACAAACTATTAACATTTTGTTCTAGATCATTCCAAACCTACAGGTACATAGATGCAGAGACCCATCACACCCACACATGTGTAAGTGTACACATGTGTGTACACACGGGCCTCCCTGCACGCTTGCATGAGTGTATATGGGACCTCATAAAACACGGGATATTATTGGACAACCTGTTCTTATCCTATTATTTCCCTTAAAATCACACATAGAAGTCTTTCCCTATCAAAACATAAACATATATCAAATGTCATCACTTTGAGTTCTGAATTGTTGAATTAGGTGGCACAATCTATTTAACCACTCCTCATAGATGACCTGGCCCTTATTTGTTCTATTGCTACATTCTCATCATTTACTGAGTAAACGTAGCAAGTCCTTTACCAAGTAAGCCACGCCCATCACAGGCTTTGGCCAAGTAAGGTAGAGATTTGGTTATTTCCAGTTGCTCACTGTTTCCTTATTAACCCAAAGTCTTAGGATCTGCGTTTGTTATCTTCTACAAATGTTCGATGATGTGATATCTGCGAAGGCATCAGAAGACACACATTCAATATGTTGATACATAGTAACACATTCTCCCCTGTCTGGAAAGCTTGGCCAACCTACACCTCTCGCCCCGTGTGGTGTGTGAACCTTAAAGAGCTAACACTGCATTTCAGAAGGATTTTTCTACATCCTTTAAGTGCCTTTTTTTTAAAAATCAGCTTTGGATTCACAGAAAATTTCTGAATTTTAAGTAAAGCCCTAGCAGGTAATTATCAAATTAAAGTGATTCTGAGTAAATGACTCACTCCGTACTAATAGCTCCTCTGCTGTCAGCTCGTAGGCCTATTTCAATGCTTTCTTCAAAAGAAGGCACACATGAAGTACGGAGTATGACGTATTTTAATAGAATGAACACGCAAGAACAGAGTTTCAAAATCTTTATAAAAACAATATAGTTGGGTCTTAAAGCCCAAAAGGAAGAATTTTTTTTTAAGGCTCAAAAATCAAATGTGAAATTTCAAGTTAAGTGTTATTTTCCAAAATACATTCGTACCCCTGAAGTTCTGTGTATTTTCTGGATGTCATGGATTACCTCTGTTTGTATGTGCAGGTGAGACATTGCCTTTGGCCACGTCAAACCAGATTCTGCTCCGGTTCAGCGCGAAGAGCGGGGCTTCTGCGAGGGGCTTCCACTTTGTGTATCAAGGTAAGCGTCACTCCGTACGCCACCTGGGTCTCCCCACACGGCACGCACCTCTGTTTTCAGACAAAGCACTGAAAGGATCAGAGTTGCATTCGTGTGATATTTAATTGACAGTATTCATATATATATAATAAAATTATTTCATAAAAACATTGTAGTTCTTTTGACACTTGATTCTGATATTTCTCATACATGGACTCCATAATATCTCACCTATCTGGCACTACAAGGAAACCAATATTGGTCATATTACTTCCTAATAGCTCTTTATATCTTGCAAAATGATTTCAAATATAATATTTTATTTAAGTATGGTATTATATAATAGTTTATATCTTAGAAGCTATTCAAAATGCATCATACAATTCCACATCTTATTGTAAAAACTAACTTAAAAGGCAATTTAACAGAACCAAACAAAATATAAAATCACTCACGTATCTGTTTTCCTAACTGAATATTTATTTTGTTTGTTTTGTGTGTGTGTGTGTTTGTTTTATTAACTTCTGGTACTTTTATACTTATTTTTTGAATTTAGAGCTTATTGAAAATGTTCGAGATTGTTCCCAGATTTCAAACAGTGAATAGTTTTCTCCTAACATATTTCACCTTTGTTTTGCATATTTATTACATGAACTAAAAAAAAAAATGCCACACACACTGTTCATATACTTTCAGCAGCACAGAGCAGGTCTTTGGTGGAAGCTGTAATGACTATATAGACTGAGGTCTGAAAGAGCTTTTCATTTTCAAAGATAAACTGTGTGTTCAAAAGTAAGAAGCAAATCCTTAAGTTTTTCTAGGTCTCCGTTCCGCTGGAGGCTAGAGAGATTACTGGCCACTCTTAAATATTTCCTCAGAAGCATAATTATTTCTTAGCAAGGTGTCTTTCCTTTGATAAAGAATTCTCCAGAAAACATTCTTGACAATGTTATGTTTTCCCAAAAGTTATGGAGACTAGCAATGCCATATTATTTATATATATTTTCTAAAAATCTCAAATTGCCAGATGGATGCCCTCAGAATAGTTCACTCAAAAAATCCCTCAGGTTTCAGCAATAAGCTGACGTAGAGTAACGGGAAGAGACTAAGAAAGGTGCTTGACAGGTAAGTGGGCAGCACAAAGGTCTCTCTGTCCCGTTTTAATCGGAATTGATTGAAGGGCGATGCTATCGGATTAAAAGTAGTTACATTGTTACAAGTTGCGTCCTTAGTTAAAATGCAAATAGTTACCTAGAATTTTAAAAAGATGGACTTTATGAGAGAGTGGCCTGTGTAAGCAACCTGCCTGTCTTAGTCTGTGTTGCTACAAGGGCAACACCTGCTGTGGGTAATTTATCAGGAAAAGAGGGTCATTTGGCTCCCAGTTCTAAGGCAGCTCAGGAAACCTGGTGCCAACATCTGCTTCCAGCCAGGGCTTCAGGGGGCAGGTGAGTCACATGGGGAGAGGAGTAAGAAAGAGAGGGGAGGTGCCAGGCTCTTTTTAACAACCAGTGCTGGAGAGCACTTACAGAGGAAGAACTCACCTGACCAGAAGGACTCCCCAGGCCACTCATGGGGGACCCACCCCCAGGACCCCAACTGCTCCCAGCAGGCCCAGCCCCAGCATGATCAGATTTCAACCTGGGATTTGGAGGGGACGAACCTCAAACTGTGTCACTGCCTCTCCCCTTCTGATTGTCTCCAATTCTATACTGCGTTGCAAAAGCAGAATCACAGACCGAACTTGGTGTAACGTGCAAAGGAACTAGACCACCTGGTCTAAGGACCTTTTTCCTCCTGGAAATAATTCAAGTGACTGTCGTTGTCAGACCTTTTTAAAGGGCTTCCTTTGATTTTCGATGAAAATTAGAAAATCTATCAGATAACTGGATTAAATATTTCGTGCAAATGGTCCAATGCCTATCCTGTCTTCAGATGTTATCCTCGCAAGGTGTATGTTCTTAAAACTTATGTTCCTTTTAAAAAGTAATACATGGTCATAATGTATAAGACATAGAAAAGTGGAAAGACAAAGTCATTTATAGAAGTGATCTATTTTTCCTGTACTTAGGAATATATAATAACTCTAATGGATTTAATATTTCATAAAGTTCTAATATGCCTCCTTTTCTTGCTTTGTTCATACCAGTGAGTTTATGCAAAAATTGATGTCTTTTTACCAAACGTACATCCTTTGGAGATAAAGAACTGAGATCATAAATGCAATTTATAAATTATTTCACACCGAAGGGAAAAGTTTTCAATACACATGAAAAGTTAAATTGAATACTGCCTCTTGAAAGACAGTAGCTGTACTGAAGCCTAGAAATTATGTGAACTCTATTGCACAGAAATTTTCTGAACAGTGCTTTCCTACACCACTTACGGCTTCATACATTCACAAATCATTAAAGGTTAAAATTGCACTGAGACTTTATGATTTCCATGGTTATAGGAAATCTAAGTCTTGTTAACAGCCCTGTTATGAAGAGCTGCTGGAGACGTCAGTGAGAGTAAGTGTGGCAGGGTCCGGGTGCAAAACCGTGTGTGTGACTCAGATGCACAGAGACCACGGTCCCTGGCCCATTTGTTCCCCACCCCTACATGCCACGCTAGTCAACCACATGGAGACTTTAATCACGATGACGTCCCCGTCTCTCTGAACTTACGAAGAAACGGAAGTGTAGGTAGGGGCTTTTTTGTAAACATCCTGGTTAACCTATACATTTGCTGGGTTTTGTCTGATTTTCGTACTATTTGAGAGTAGAAGGGCACATTTATAAAGCATGGGCACTGACTAAAACTATGGTGCCCAAATGGTGGTGGTGTTCACCAGGGATTCGGGGGGGAGGTAGACCTACATTTGAGGGATGTGGCGAGCACTGTGGAGGGGAAGGGCATACCTCTAACCCTTGCTAGGGAGAGGCAATGATATAAAATGCAACCAAAATGTCAAAAAAAAAAACTTATTGGGTGTCAGGCAGGTGGGGGAGGAGGAGAGGGGTGTGTACTTACATAATGAGTGCAATGTGCACCACCTGGAGGGTGGACACACTTGAAGCTCTGACTTGGTGGGGGGGGTGGCAAGGACAATATATGTAACCTTAACAATATTTGTACCCCCATAATATGATGAAATAAAAAAAAAAGGTCAATCCTACTGACAGCTTATGGGCTGGAGAGGGCAATTTCTGGGATGCAGGGAAGGCAAACACCACAGTGCAAAGAGTAAGGTTGGCATGGAGAAGAGAGAAAAGCAAGCAATAGAGTGGATTCTTTATTTAATAACCTAGGAATTGTCCATGATGCAAACTGTGTCTGTACTTTATTAAAAGCCATGAGTGTAAAAAAAAAAAGGATGAGAGAAGAAAAAGGGGGAGTTAGAACACAGGAGCACCCCAAAATACTGCCATAATAGTGGATGACCCTTCCTCAGGAAACTCGTAAGTTGCTCTTCTGCACTGATTTACGGACGACCCTGAGTTAGCACTTGGGAAGAGCTTGGATCTGCTGCTGTTTGGTGCAGTTTAATGAATTATCACGGCATTGTGTGCTCTATGGGGAGTGTAGCACGCACAGTTCACCAGACTTCAGTGACATAAGAAGTGTTGGAGATTGAGCTCGGTGACCTTTTGTCACCGACACAATTCGGTGATGGTGGAGCCCCCTCCACAGCTGTGGTCCTGCCCGTCCAAGCCCTCACCCCCTTCCAAACCAGCAGCCACTCCCTCAGCTGTGCAATAGCAAATAGAAGGTAGAAGCAGAAGCTGTGAAGAGAAATTATCATAAAAATAATCTGATAATTCTCCATCTGAAGTGTGCAAGTGTCTGCAATGGTTCTAATAGTCCAGGGCTGGACCACAATCTCTCACTTTTTTTTTTTTTTTCTGCATGAGAGAACTTCTTTGAAGACGCAGGAGGCATACAATTCTTGCTTTTAAACATAGACCGTGTTCAGCATTGCACGTTTTCCTTTAGGCATCAAGCAGAAAGTTTCCCTTACCTGTTTTCTGGCTTCTGGGAATTCCCTAAACGTTCACTGCAAAGGGACTCCTGTGGCTCCCCTCCACTCCTGAATCCCCGACCTTTTCCTGCCAACAGAGATGACAGTGCCATGACCAGAGCTGTTTGCACAGGTGTGGTGACCTTTGCCACTGCATAGAAAATATATTGTACCTGAAGTCAGCATATCCTGAAGTCAATCAATGCAAAAAGCAAAAATCAGACATAACATTTCTTAATAAGTCCTGCACTGTCTGTTTCTTCCAGTATTAGAAGAAATCTTTGGTGCTATTCTATAAAGTAATTGCATTTAGACACTTTGGCCCGAAAAGCATGCCTTTCAACACTAAAATCAATCTATGTGGCAACGGAGGCCAACGAGGGTGGAGCGAACCTCCTCTCTCCTGCTGCCCTGGGCACCTGCTGGCTCCTGGCAGGACAGCTAAGGCTCCACAATGTCCTCTGCTTCCTCCTGCAGGTTCACAGGACTGATTGTCTCTGCATTGAACTTGGTTGCGGAGAGAACCTCATCAGTGTATGACTATTTCTTTTTCTCTAACTTTTTTTTTTTTTGGCATATCATGGGGGTACAAATTTTAAGGTTTCAAAAAATGCCCTTTCCCCCCCTCCGCCCACAAGTCTGAGTCTCCAGCATGACCATCCCCCAGGTGGTGCCCATCTCACTCATTATGTATGTATATATCCGCCCCCCTCCCCTCCACTGCTCAATACCTGATTCTGTAGCTCCTAGTGTCCACTTAGGTGCTGCTCAGTTATTACCAGTTTGTGGTGAGTATAGTGTTGCTTGTTTTACCATTCTTGGGATACTTCACTTAGTAGTATGGGTTCCAGCTCTACCAGAAAATATAAGATGTGCTATATCAATTGTTTCTTAGAGCTGATACGTACTCCATGGTATTAATATACCCACATTTTATTAATACCATTCTTGAAAATTGACTGGGCGCTTGGGCTGTTTCCACAGCCTTCGCGATTATCGAAGTTGTGCTGCTATCAAA